CCTTTGTTACCCAAAGGTTGTCTTCAAAATAAAACTACAGGGGGAACCAAACTCCCACTGAAACAGAGCCAAGGAGCATCTCCAAAAGGGAATCTGCCTTCACAATATGCCACAGCTAGCCCTACAAGAGGGCAGGGGTCAATTTTAATGGTCATCTATGACTATCTAATATTCTATCAGGCAATTACAAATGGCAGCCTGAGTTGTCTGTTGAACAGCCACAAAAAAATAACTTTATTGTAGACTCTTTGCAGGCTTAAACTCCGTGTACAGGTGGGGTGCACATGTCACAATCTTTTATAGAGTTACATTCAAAATTTCATTTGAAAAATGACCCTGTAACCCCAAATGAGCTATCAGTTACCATACTATAACATAAATTATGATAAGTATATCTTCATGAAATTTGGCAAACTTTCAATAAATATTACAAGTATTTTGTACATAGAAATTCGATTTTTTAATTCAATATTTGTACTAAAGGCTTGTCCATAAATATATGGAGTCAAAGTGTAACTGCTCCGAGTGCAAAGTGATTTTCATGTTAAGATTAAAAATACTTTTCTTCATCAGAAATTTTCAAATTTCATTTGTGCAACTTGTAAGACCTCCTAAATATATATCAAACATTTTTCTCAGCTAAACTTTATAGTTTCTCTGCCATAACTCTATATGAACTCAGTAGATTTGACCAACCTCATAACCACCATAAAAAAATATGAAAATAATCTAAATTACTCCTTTTTCTTTCTAGAATGACCGCAAATTGTAACTGGAAACGACATTTCTTTATCCTAAATACCTTAAAGCTCGTAACAATATAAATTTGTTTATACTTAATTTTATTGTTTTATTACCCTTTGAATTGTGTTTAAGTAATAATTCTGCTGCACAAGTTGTAAATCACTTGAAGAATGCATAACTCACATTACCTTATTGAATGACATAATGCACATGCTGCTCGCAAGCATACCCCATGAATTCTTATTATTATTACTAGTATTTTTTATTATCTTACCTAATCTAATAAGTTTCTAATTTTTACATTTGAGTTACATTTATAACAATAAATAAACAATATACAAGAAAAACAAGAAATATTGTACTTACTTTTGCCATCTCGTTTTTTTGCTTTGGTTGTCAATGAAATTTAAGCCCACTTTTTTTTATACTAATGGTACTAGTACACTAACTATTTTTTATTCACTTAAATAATGTATCTAAGAACACAGAATAATATCATACTCAAAGCAAACAATGTCCTATAACTATCATAATTTAACTGGCTTTCTAACTATGGCATAAGAGACTTAAAATAATTATTTAAGCTTTTCAATCTGAATACTGCAAGAGAGACTTTCAAACTGAAGACTAAATAAACAATACTATGTACTAAAAATAATCTAATATAATATGTCATTTGATATATTAAAACTTCATCTTTCTATTGCTTATAAATAACATAATATAAAATGTCAGAGAAAACTATTGGCAATTTGTGAAAGAGAGGATGTGACAGGTGGACATGGCAAGTGGGTATGATTTTCTAGTTTGTGACTCCATAAAAAAATAAGATTGAAGGTTATAAAAATTAGATTTTTCCTTAGTAATATCTATATTATATTGAGTAACTTAAATTAAATTTCAGACTTCTCAAAGAAGTGGCAAATACATTAGAGAAGAGGGAAGACCTACACAACAAATGTCACAATTTTCATACTAGGAGATATTAAAGATTTTTTTAAATATTCCCTTATACTAAAACTTATATAGTATTAACATTTAATTTATTAAATACATTTTGATGCCAAGTTTATTTGTATACATTTATAATAAAGTAGTTTAATTAAGCTTTGAATGTAAAAGTACATAACATGCTAACCTAGCTGTAGCGAGAAATGTAATATACTTGGATCGAAACATAGTTTATAAAACAAATTTTAATACTATATGATCTTTAATTTATCAATTAAAAAGGAAATATTTTATAAAATTGTGCAATATTCATTCATAAGTGTCACATGCACATCTGCACTCTGAATTGCTCATTTTAAAGTGTTCTTTCCAGACCTGAAATTATCTTTTAGTTTAAAATAATATACAAACTTGTAATTTAGACTTTGCTAAAACACTATGCAATATTTATAACTTTCAACCTTATTATTTTAATGAGATATAAATCAGAAACTCAAACCCACTTGACTCATCAAATATAAATAATTCTTTCTAACATTTGCTTCTGGATTATTTATAACCAATAGAAAGAGGAAATTTTAGAATTTCTAAATCCATTATAAGGTTAAATGTATTATGAACATTATACGAGCTACTTTTGCATCAATTTCCTTCTGACCATCGAAAAGATCACATCAATCAGTGAAAGAAACTATTATAAATAAATTATAGGTTAGTTAAAAAGTCAATAAAATTATAATAGTTATAGGACATTATCTTTTTTTGTATGTATTATTATTTTGTGTTCTAGACTGCAAAACTGAAATAAATAATAATTGACAGTGTACTAACAAAAAATAGTACTAGAGTTACAAGTACTAAATTTCTTGTTTTTATGTATATATTTTATAAAAGTAACTTAAATGTAAAAATTATAAGTTTATTAGGTTAGATAAGAGAAATGAGATGAAAAAAATTAAATAAAAAATATTCAATAGCATACTCAAGTAGGAGCTGTCTCAAATTTAAGTTTTTTGTAACTTTGATTGTATCAGCTTGTAATTTGATGCCATGTTTACTAAAAGCTTTCCCAGTTGTGCTAATTAAGTTTATTGCTGGTCTAAGAGGTAGTAAAGCAATAACCTAAATAATATTTGAATTGTTTTAGCTTTGGGTAAAAAATTAACAAAGTATGATGTCTTTTGGTCACAAGACAGGTCAAACTGAGTGTCTATACAGTTAGTGTTAGAGAAATTATAAACTTTTACATTAATTTTTTTCTTTTTTTTCATTAAGAAAAATTGACCATCATATGGCATTCCATGAAAAATAAGAACCAGAGTAAAAAAGAAAAAGGATTGATGACGAAAATGCAATGTCACACAGGAAACATTATATAACTTTCAAGCATCAAGGCTCTCAAATCTCAACTTCAAAACATGTCTCTGGTATCATTTCTATAGTAAACTAATGTTCTTTTCTATATGAGAAAAATATTCTTAGTCAGATTACATTTTTGTCAATGGGTACTCCTCTCTCAGGATAGAAAGTTTAAAAATGCATAGCAAAAATCACTGCCATTACCATGCTGTTCGAGTCAACATGGCATCCCAAGTTCAACTGGAAACTACTCCAGTTGAAAAGAGTAGTGAGAAGTATGACTACCAAGATCTTTGACAAATTGAACATTCTGTTCAGGACCTGTCACACCATTGCCAAACATTGCTGGCCTTTCACCAACTATATTTATTTGGCAATGTAATCATGATGAGAAAAAGGATTAGACATAAGTGCAAAATGTGGAGAATTTATGGACACAAATGGTAAGATTGAAAGACAGAAATTGGAGAAGTCTGTCAATGTGGAAAAGTTTTTATCCATGACATGTGATAAAGCACTGTATTATGCTATCATGAAGCAGCTCAATATATATATATATATATATATGTCAGGAAGGCGGGACTCCAACCAGACAATATTTTATATCTAAGCTAACTGAGGAAAAGGTAAAATGTTGAAGCAACAGAAATAGGATATCGCAAAACCTTAATCCAAGATGAAGAAGGTATGATAGAACCAACTACCTGGTGCACAATGGCAGTAACATCACTGACCATCAAAGGGCCAACAATTATCATTGATATGGAGTGTAAGGATCTCAGGAGGCAACAAAAACATGGATGTGTGAGAATTTATTGTCAAATTGATCCGTGTAACCATTTTTTTTTGTATTGCACAGTACATTGATTTTACAGCAAATGTACCAGATTACAAATAAGAAGTTAAACAATAAAGTTTAACTGAAAGTTAAAGAACTAAAAGAAATTCAAAAGTCCTGTAATTCCAAAAACAAAGAAGCAATTTTTAAACATACCTGAAAACAAGTAGTGCTAAGGAAAGAATGAATCTTTGTTCAAATGATAGTGTTTATGGTGAAGTCCAAGTGAGAAACAAAGTAGAAGTGGAAGATACCTAAGCTGAATGAAGGGACTCACCTTGGCATTATAATTTTCTTGTAGAAATTCTCAGGATCTTTTACTGAAATTTAAAATTGACTTCAAAAGACTAAAACTGGAAAACATAATAATATAATGGCCTAAGTACTTAGTTTTTAGAATGACCTCTCAGATTGCTCACTAATGTGTTAAAATGTCAATTATATAAGTGCATTTGTAGAAAATTATTTCAGTCTAAAATTTATATATTCTATAATTTTTCTAGTCAGAGCTAGTCTACTAATTTTTATTTCCAATTCCTTCTCTTTCTGTGAGAAAATGAGTGTGATATTAAAAGAAAAGAAGGAAATATTGGAAACCTTTAAAGTTCTCAGACTTTCCATTTTCATTTCCATACTAAATAAAATAATAAACAATGCTTGATTTGTAAGCTTAAAGGAGGATGTATTCCTCTACTATTGGTGGAGAGCTATAGGTATAATGATAATTACATCATAGACTGGTGCAGTACATATTTATAACTACTGGGGTGTGAATTTCATTCAAGGCTTGTGATGCATGCAAAAATCTTTAAATCAAGGGCATGAAACAATAGCTTTTTGTTGTGCAGAGAAGTAAGTAAGTAAACATTTCTAAACTGGCATTATCCTTTTCTTGTAGAAAGTCTCAGAATCTTTTACTGCAGTTTAAAATTGACTTCAAAAGACTAAAACTGAACATAATAAGAATATAATGTCTCCAGTACTTAGTTTTTATAATGACTTTTCAGATTGCTCACTATAGTGTGTCACTATGTCAATTATATAAGTACATCTGTAAATACTTTTTCAGTCTAAAACTTAGTAAATGCAAAATTAGTCAACAACTTACAACAATCTTTTTTTTCATCAGAACCATCTTGGCAGTCCTTCTGGCCATCACATCTCCAGGTTTCAGGTATACAAACTCCCTCAGTCATTTCACAAGAGAATTGATCAGGTCCACATGTTTTATTGCCTATAATATTGGTAAACATTACTCAAATTAGTGGAATATTTAAATATGTAATATGTATCAAGGTTAGTCTACTAATTTTTTAAAATTCCTTCTCTTTATGTGGGAAAATTTGTATGATATTAATAGATCAGAAGGATATATTTAAAATCATTAAAGTTTTCAAACTTTTCATTTTCATTTCCACACTATGTAAAATAATAAACAATGCTTAATTTGTAAGCTTAATAGATAATTTATAGTATTTTAGAAAAGGTTTTTCTGCATCTTTTTCTCAAAATTTTGGGCTTTAGTCTTTTGAAGTATATTCATATTATTTGCAAAATATTTTATTTTTACATCACCAAAAGGTAATCTTTGGAAAAATTTTATTTTACACATCACAGCAAAGTCTTTTAGATGCTTATACAAATCATAACTTAGATCATTTCTATGGGACAAGCTACATTATTGCCTTGTGAAAGGAAGGTTAAACATAATCTTCAGTGATAAAAAAATGGTAGAAAATGAGGTAGAAAAATGATATCTAAAGGAACCCAAGTTTATCTTTATAGATACTGCTGTCAAAAAAACACCATCCATGATCTCATAGCACATCAACGATTATAACAAAACTACATCAACATGCAATAAATAAAGATATATTCAACTGCAAAGAGTTTTGCAAATTAATCGCAAAACAAAAATATCACTTAAGGAGTTGTTACTAGAAAAATCACATTCCACATTCCATCCATAACAGATAATAGTTTTAAAAGAATCATTTATCTGACAACTGTAAATTTGAAATATATACAATCATATATATTATATTCAAACTAGTTTTTATAATCCAATGTATAAGAATAATTTTATAAAAGCTTCAATGGCAAATTGCATGTCTCCAAGAATTCCTTCAAGTGCCGAGGCACTAACATTAGATTTTGCTAAAGCTAATTGTCATAACAGATTTTCATCTTAGATACTGCAACAATTCCTAATAGGTAATAGTAGGATAACAGTTAATGACAGAAATATTCCAACCAATAACAGTATATTTTCTGAAGAGTGTATAGATGAAAGGTCTATGACACTAAAACAGGAAATGAGAGGAGACCATTCAAAATGTACAGGTTACAAAATTTCTTTGCTGAGTGCCAACCCACTACTTGTAAATCACTAAGTTTAATAACGTTTAAATTTAAAATAATGGAGTTTAACTGAAACTAGCAAAATGTATCAAACCAGACTATATTAAAATAAAGTAAAAATTTATTAAAGGCTAGTGGGTAAACCTAAGAAAACACATAACAGCTTTTTAGTTCAGGTTCCCTAGTAGCACAGCAGTATATCTGCAGACTTACAATGCTAGAAACTGGGTTTTGATGCCCATGGTGGGCAGAGCATAGATAGCCCATTTTTTAGCTTTGTGCTTAAGTTCAAATTAACCCAAATAAATTCTTAGTTTAGACCTTCTCACACTGTAAAAATCAAGTTTCAAAAAATCCCAGACACTAAAACCCAAGAAGTAGTAACTGTCTATAACTTAGTCAAACACAATCATGAATATTCCTGAAATTAGATTTTGTGACCAATGATAATTACAATAGTAACTTCATACTTAGCAACTGCTAATCACCATGCGTACGACTTCCCAAAGTATTGGTTAAGACAACATAGGCTGGCATCCGTTTTACAGATTATACTCTTAGGGCTATGCTTCATAAGCCTATAGCTAATTCCTGTTTCTATGCCAAGTATAAAAACTGAAATTTGTATATGTTGAACATACATTATTTGAACACAAGTGGGTTATTTTCATGTATTCTTGTAAACTCATCTGAGATAAGTGCATGAAAAACAATAATTATTGGAAGATAACTTATAATGTATGAATTCTAGATGAGTTTCAAGAAAGGAGCAGGACTAAATAAGTTCATTGCTTATAAAGACTGCTTTCAAGAAGTATACTGTGAAGGAAGCCCATTATATAAATTTATAACAATAATACACTTTACATTCGAAAAAAAAGAATATATGTACTTAACAAAACAACTAACAATTTCATCAATAACAATCACTTGTGAATTGCCCAGGCCCCAAACATTTATGGTGTAACATTCCTTGCAAATTACTGAGCTTTCAAAGTTATCATTTTCTTTACCTGAAAATGAATTAAATACAAATACTTACTTCTCTGCACCACTAAGAGTTATTACTTTGCATGCAACTGCCATGAAAGTTCCTACACATGCCACAAACCTTGAACAAACTCCCACCCCTACACATTTCTATGTGTATTTCACCTGCCTATAACATAATTCTGTAGCCCTCCATCAATAAGAAGGCAACACAACCTCCATAAGAAGTAATCCCTGTGAACACTAGTCAATGATCAAAGAGAGGTATCTACCTATCTGAAATAAATTTGTTGGTAAAGAAAATTATTACTTCAGAAACACTACTTAATCTCACTGCACCAATAAGAGCTGGAATCCCACATTGAAGATGGTGAAGGAGCTGAGGCAGATCAATTACAAAGATGAGCTCCTTTCTGAAATAGCAACAGAAAGAGAAAGCTCATGGCATATGACTTCCAGGAGACTGATAGTAACTTAGTGGAGCAGCATCCAATGAAAGACCACATCCTTCTCAAGAAGGGAATACTCTTTCCCTAATTTGTTGTTACTGAGTTATATATTCATGATGTCCATTACAGAGAGAGTGAGCAAAAAACATTGTGAAAATTCAGTACCAGTGGTAAAATGTCAATAAGGTAGGTGTAATGTTAAAATGTGTAGTGTGGCTAGGGCTTTAGGCCATTCTATCTTGGTGAAATACCTTCATAAGATAGAAATTGTAATGACAGGTGAAGGGAAGAGGAGAAGCCTTCACCTGCATCCTGAGACAAGTCCAAGTTCCATCCAGCTGGACATATCCACCAGGAGTTGCTTGGGAGATATTTCCAGGTAACATAACACCCATGCAGCCCTATAAATCAAATAAGGAGTAGGCCCAAGCACAAAGGACACTCTCTATATCAACATACACAGGGTTCTCCCATGCCCCATTAGAACAGGGGGGTAAGGAATATACATTGGAGAGAACATTGGAGAATGTACATGGATTGGTTACATAAGCACAATCATCTAGAATTGGGTTCTTATTAAGAGACAGTGCAATAGGTTAATATGACTAAAGACAGCAAGCACAAGCCAGATGTATGGGCAGAGCTACATATGGTACTGTCTGTTTTTTGGTTGTTGTTTGTTTTTGTAGGAGAAGTGGAAATATCCATGTCAGTTGTATAGATACACTGCCAAAGCAGTCTTGCAAAAAACTCAATCTCAATGATGAGCACTTAGCAGAGGCAGATAGGTTTAACATTTTCTTTTCTCTCCTGCTCAATGTTTATTTTGGGTAATCATTCTCTATGAGGCAACACCAGCTACTTGGTGGGATCCAATGACACCAAATATAAGGAATGTAGTGGTTAGTACCTCATGTTATGATCAATTTGGTGTATATTGTCTCTTCATTTGTTTTTATTTTTTTGTGGTTATTTTATAATGAGCACAAAAATAATGATATACACATTGAGGTACCATAAAATGACTGAAAACTCAACAGGCAAAACCAGAGGCACACAAAATTGCCCAATGTTGTAAGTAATTGGAGATAAATGTGTAAGGTGTAGTTCACATACAAGTCTTTAAAATATCCACCAAAGGCCAGCAATGAATGGAAGTAGGAGATGCTGTGATATGCCGAATGTGGTGGAAGGAGACATAAAAAAAGTGTACAGTCAGATTTGACCAAAGAACAATATGTGAGACAGATGAGCTGACAAACCTAACCAGTGAAAGTGGAAGGGGAGAAGTCCCCCAGAGGAGGAGGTCTACCATGATAAATGTATGTGATGATGGTTTTTATGAAAAGGGGCAGTCTTAGGAAGATAGCAACAGGAAGCCCATACAGGAAACAAAATATGGTCAAGATTGACATGGCTGTACAACAAAGACAGAGAAAAGAAAGATAGGAGAAAGCATCTGATCACCATCCCAGGCAACCTAAACCTTCAGAAAAAAGGAGAGTATGGAAACAACATCAACATACACTTCCCTATAATTGGAGGCATCCAAGTCATAAATGTCTGAATGATGACAACCACAAGCAAGGAGAAGGAGAAAATATGTCTTAAGAGACAAATGAAACAAGAAACATGAGGCCAACAACTCAAAGAGGGAACATGCAAGAGCCCAAAGAACCATAAAAAAGGTGGAGGTATTAAGAAATGCCCCTCCTCTCAACCAGAAAAAGAGGCATCAGTGTAGAGAGACAAGACAGGTGGATGGGAGCAGAATACCCCCAGGGTTGTATTGAAACAATCAAGCTACAATGATATAGAGAGACATAGAGAGGAAGATAGAGACATAAGGGCAAAAAAGGGGATTGCAGGATATGTTCCACTGAACTCCTAGAGCCCATTGAAGGGGACAGGTGTGTGTGCACAACCAAGATGGATAAGAGCTAATAGAGAAACAAGAATCCCCAAAAGAAAAAGAACCTCTCATGCAGGAAAAACAGGAGAGAAAGGTGCCTTGGATACCAATATCATCATAACATAAAGATATAAAAGAGAGAGTTGAGCCCACCCCACATGGGAAACAAGGAAAACTCTATGGTGGAAAAGATATGGAATGGGACACAAAAAAGATCGATCAGCCAGAATGGAGGTAGCAATGACCAAAACCTGTCAAAATTGGGTCAGACAACCAGCCCTGCCTCCCAAAAATGAGTAGCAGAAAGAGGCATCCATGGAATAGTAAATCAGTAAACAATGGAATATTACTAAAGAACATCCTTAGTTTGGGATTCCAAGGAGTCTGGAAACCCCAAAAACTTGGTCTGTAAGAAAAGGAGTGAGACAAAGATAACAAATATAAGAGGAAAGGACACGAACACCCAAAAGAAAAGCAACCTGACACAGAAGATCTCAAAGACAAGAAAACCAGATCTAAATAAAGATAATAGAAGAAAATATAGAAGCCAAAGTGGCAAGCAAAGAAAAATAGGTGTCCCCATCAAAATCAACAGGGTCATGACAAAGAGCTACAGTGAGGAAGCAATAGGCAGAGATAAAAATAAGAAGTAGGATAAAGAAAGATGAAGACGAGAAGATAGTTGAAACGCAAAAGACAAAATAAGGAGAAAAAGAGCATCCCAAGCAGACAGAAAGGACACACAAGATAGGGTTTCAAGAAATATAAAGTGGCCACAACCTGAGATCATAGCAAAGGAGACACAAAGATGAGTAGGACAAGAAAAATGCAGAACATGGAGTTGGAACAAAAGGAGAATCACAAAGTTTAAACTAGAGTCATAATGAAATATGGGTAAAACAGATAGGATAACACATGCCTGACTTATGAGCACAGAAAACAGAAAAAGGGGTACCAGTTCCTCATCAGGAAGAGGAGAGCCAGAACCAAAGGCTGGAAGTGGCAAAGATGGCAAAAATAATCCTCAGGCAAAACAAGAACTACAGAAAGTATTGAAACAGAACGAGGGACTGGAACTGAAGAAGAAGTAGGCAGAATGGAACCAACTAACTGATGTACAATTGCAGGAACATCATCAATGAACTTGTTGCTACATCACTGTTCAACACAGCTCACACAGACACATGATACTGATAGTACCTCACCATGGAGTGAAATTTGAGACATGTTACATGCAGGCGTGTGCTGTACTAAGTGAACTAAAAGAATAACAATTGAACATCAGTTCCATGAACAGATAAGTTGCCTACAGTTGCCATTTAATGAGTTGTGGAAAATGCCTGAAAAGAACCAGTTGGGCCTCAGCATGTATTTACTTTTTAGTTATATTTGGTATACATTGTTGAATGTAGTATAAAGTAGAAATGTGGTGGCTAGAGAAAATGAAGAAGCCCTCATATGAACAAAACGAAAATGCAATGAGGACAAAAGAAATGTAGCACTAAATAAAGAAAGGCAGCAGAACAATGCAGGTTGAAAATCGAAAATCACAGGAAAAAATGCATTTGAACACAGGCAGTACTGAGGAAATAATGAGCCTATGATCATGTTCTAGTGCTAACAGGGAATATAGCACATGGAGGTTGTGTAATCCTCCTATTGGTGGAAAACTAAAGCATTATGACAATTACATCACAGGCTGGTGCAATATACATATATATGTGTCTATTGCGAGTTTGTTTAAGTCTTTTCACACATGCAGGAAATTTCACAGCATTTGCACACAAGGATATGGCTTTTAGATTTACTAAAATGCAATAATTTCAAATTTATATGACCTAAGATACTTTAAAACCAGCTAAGTTCTGCAAATAAATCAGAACACAAATATCTTTAAACACAGAAAATTTTAGAAAATTATGAAAAACAATAGAAGTTATAAGAGTTTAAACTTGCATAAATACCATGTTGGAAGATCAAGACTGAACATTTCAATTGTATTAATGTTTAACTAATAGTGAAGAATTTTACAGTTAAGTTAATGTAAGTAAACAAACAAAGACTCTTACTACAAAGATCTTGATTTTCATCAGACATGTCTCCACAGTCATTTTCTTTGTCACATTGCCATTTGATAGGAACACATTTTTGGTTGTCACATTTCATTTCTGTTGATGAACAGGTTCTTACATCTACACAACGACAAAGGAACAAACCTCAAACACCTAATATTCATTAAATTCCACAGACTCTACAACTTTGTATACCTTCTGAGTAAAAAATATTTGTAAGTTTACCTGGACCATGCCAAAGAAAACCTGTTGAAAACCTCAAATTTTTAAAATCTGACTAGGAAAATAATATTATGTTTGAGGAAGCTAATAGGAAACAGTCACAAACAGTTAAAATCATTCATTAATATAAGTTGGCTATAATAATTCTTGGCATAAATTGAAAAAAAATACTACAATCAATTTGTCATTAAATACAGTATAATAGTTTATAAAGATGTTTCTTAATGTACAGCTTGAAGTATTTTCTTCATAGCTGGATATTCTCAGATTAAAACCTTGTAGCTTAACAGCTTTTTCCTTAGCTCTAACTTCTGTGTAAGTAATGTACCTGCAAGTTGAGTTTCACTATTCTGAAGCTTTAAAGATGCAAATTATGAACTATGTCTAATAAACTTGTACCTAGTAACATCTGTATCACAAACATTATATTTTTAATGCACATTTAATTTCAATTTAGCATTTTTAAAAATTCAAATTGCATATATTCTTAAAATCATAAATAATATTCAACATTAAACTGGTACACAATTAAAAACATTTTATTTAGGCCTATCTATGGCCTTCAAAAAGTTGACGACTCTACATGTTTCAATGTTACAACATCATCCTCAGGAGTGACATTGTAACGTCGAAACATGTAGAGTCGTCAACTTTTTGAAGGCCATAGATAGGCCTAAATAAAATGTTTTTAATTGTGTACCAGTTTAACATTGAATATTATTTATGATTTTATCTTTATACACAAGTGCCAAAATACTATAATTGTATATATTCTTATTCCATTGCATTTAAAAATGAATATCGCTTGTCAGCTTCTTCAAGGGTGTGTACGCACCAGCTTAAAACACAACAATGTATCTATTTTAACTTTTCACAGAGTTTATGTGTATAGGTTTGGTAACTAGGTTCATCCATTCTCTATAAAATCATATTCAGAGTGTACATTTGTCATTTGAGATACAGATTTCAAGATTACCAAGGTAATTTTAACTACTTGTGCTATTTCTAACTTTATTAATACACACACACATATATGGCTTTGTACTTTTGCATATATGTGTATGCATGTGTGTCTTAAAATGCAATGTAAATGATGTGTGATGATAAAATATAATAAACATTCAGGATGTGTGTATGTTACTCTGTTTATACTTACTGCTTTCTTTTGTTGTGCTAACAATCCAAGTGGAGTTGCATATTTATAAGTAACCACTACACAATATAATAATGTTGAATGCTGTGTAACTAGCACCTCACAAAATTAGGATGTTCTAAACCTAAGGAGTTCTAACTCTTGTATTATTTGTTCTGTTTTAATGTATTGTAGTGCAACATGCCAAATCTGAATTTTTAAAGACTTATTTCTTACAATATATAAAATTTAATTTTACTTTTAATGAACTAGTCAGACATTATTCTACTAGTGGTATCACCTGGTAGCAATCAAAAGACTAGCATGTATTAGGTTGTCAAGAAATTAAAATCGCCTTTTTTTAGATGAAAAAACAACTTATATTTCAAAACAAAACATTTATTAAAAGAAATAATCTCCATTCCTATTTATGATACTTTTCCATTTTAGATTCAGGTTGTTAATGCACTGATTAAAGAAATTACTTGGCTTTGAAGCAAAAACATGTCAATGTCCTCTTTAAAACCTTCCCCATTTACATACGTTTTCCCATTATGATGGTGATGCAGCGAATGTAAAAGATGGTAATCTGATTGTGCCATATCTGGAGAATATGGTGGGTGTGGGAGAATTTCCCAACCCAATTCCATAATTTTGTGTTGCATCAAACATTCCACATGTGGACGTGCACTGGAGAAGAAGAACATCTTTCCGATTGACAAGTGAAGGGCATTTCTGATGAAGGGCTTGATTTAAACGTTCCAGTTGCTGACTATAAATCTCTGCATTGACAGTTCGCTGTGGATTGAGGAGTTCAAAATGAATTACTCCTTCAATGTTCCACCAAATGCAAAGCATCACTTTCTGCAGATGTAGTCCAGGTTTGGGGTTGGAAGTGGTTTTTGTCATTATATTTGGCATTTAATATTTGCATAGAGAATCCATTTTTCATCACAGGTGACAATTCTATCCAAAAATGGTTCATGCGAATTACGCACCATGAAGAGACGAAGCAACATTCACATGTTGGAAACGATGATCATCGGAAAGTTCGTGAGGCACCTAAACACCTCCTTTATGGAGTTTTCCCATATTCCTTAAATGTTTACGTATTGTTTCATGAGAGACATGCACTTTCAGGTAATTAACTTAAAATGATTTCCACAATATATATTTTACACTAATTTGCACTGGTACTCCAAAAAATCAAACTGACTCTTCTTTGACATTTTAAACATATCAAGAAAACAGTTTATATCAGAAAGTGATTCAAGCTGTGCTTTTGTTTTTCCATAAGTTGGTCTACCTCTGTGGCCTCAACAGGACTTTATTTCTTTCAGTACAGCAAAGTCAGTCACACAGTGACATTTCTTTGTTCATAAGGTTCATTTTTCCACCTCCTGTATCTTTATGTAATTTCTTGAATTTCATGTACTTGAATTTTTTCATTAGTACTAGCCATATTTGATTGGGCCATTAGTCAACATCTACCTGAAGCAGAGTTTTCTCCTTCTACCTTAAATCATTGTATTATTTCATTATACCATGACTTTTAATGTATTATTTTCAATAAGTCATATTATATTAACATTTTCATTTTCTGAAGTGGTAAACAAACATACAAATATATATATATATATATTAAGACCATACATCAAGCAATAAAAAACAATGGTCCATGAGATACTGACTAATGACCACTTGTAGAATGACAATATATTTTCTTTTGCCAAGAAAGTAAAAGCAGAAGGCATAAAGTTTGTGAAGTATGGGTGCCAGATTTGTTTCACTGAAAATGCAATACAACCTATGTATTCACTGAATACAAAAAGTACTGGTTGATGTGACTTGATTACAAGGTTTTCTAATGTTAATATATGTATCTGCAACCCAATATTTTAAAATATAATATTGATAATATTCACAGTAATTTTAACAAATATTGGTGTAAATTTCATAACTTTAAATTATTACAACAAAACTCTTAAATACTTATCCCTTACATAACTGATGTTTTCTAAATAAGTCTGTGAAATAGAACAAGCAAAAGTAACAAATTACCATATCACATTGCTGATAACAGAAGAACACATTATGAGAGCTTTTGGGTCAATATTCATGTAAAATCATCTTGCACTCTGTCTAATTCTATTTAAGTTACTTATTATCACAACATCTTAGCAAGATTGTTTCAACACTTTTCCAGGAATGTTTATGGTGAGTCATTTAGGGAAGTTATTTCAACGTACTAACCATTGGATTAGGTTTATTTAGTTCCTACACATTTTTTTTTCACATTATAGCTAAAACATGTACTTACTCCTCAACCTGACCAACCTTCAATGTGGAATAGTTACGGGTGTCAGATGGTTGATATGAGCATTTGTGTTATTTCTATAACAACAGGCTACCCCAAGTAAACTATGAGTAATGTCCTTAGGAAACAGAAGACAACAGGTTGTACTCATGTTGAAAGCAAGACATGAAAGTCAAAATTATTGACAAATCAGGCCAGAAGCTTAAAATGTGGGACAGAGTTACTGCATGTTTGACATTAAATTCATTAGCCCAAAACATTAATAAATACACTGGAATCAAAGACAGCATATCTAAAATTTCATGAAAACTGCACAACACTGATTTTCATGGAAGAGCTGCTTCTCATTAGTCCAGGATTACAAACCTGACTAGTGAAACATACTGTTATGTCTGTGTTCATTTGTTTATTTTTTTGTAGAAATTCTTTCAGCGATACAAGCCTTGTCTTAATTAAAACTAGTTTATTCTTTCTCAATTCAACTTTGCAATACACTTAATTTCCACAGTCACTTTAACTTAAACACACACTATAATTCACAACAATTCACGCACTTTACTACCACGCTTGATTCAATTGTCTGTCTGCAATTCAATTACCTATATATCTATCTATCTATGCCATCACTTCTTGCCGGTCTTATATATACGTCTCGAGCCTTCAGGAACCTTCTAGATACTCATTACATGTTACCAGCGTCACGTGACTTCCGCTGTCATAACAGTATGTCGTTTGCATCAAAATCTGATTTTAGCATTAAATAGCCAAACACTGAGCATATGACTGAGTTGTTACAGTAGAGAAAGTTGGAGGAGAAAACATAATGGTTTGAAGCTATTTTTCATGGTATGAGCTGGGTTCCTTGGCACAATACTATTTTGACGGCTCTTATGTCTACAAGCACAATAACAAGCATTGTCACACTGAAAGGACAACATCATTTAAATTGTGCAGTTGCCAACCCAGATCCCCTACTTAAACTCAGTTGACTCACCCCAGAATGTCTTGGAATATCTCATGAAGGCCAGAGTAGGTAGATCACAATCCACTACTGATGTGACACATGCTCTAAAAAAGAAATGGCACAGTAGTATGTCTGATATCTACCAAAACATTGGTACAAAGTGTTAGTAGCAGGGTCTGAAATGTGACTGTTGCCAAAGGTGTACCAACATCCTATAATAAATGGTATAAATGATTGTAAATTAACGATATTGCATATTTCCTTACTGTATTTATAGTTTTAGTAATATAGCATATAACTGGTCTTTTATAGAGACTTAGGCTGGCATATGCTTCATCAAATGTGACATTCCTCATAGGATCTGAGTGTTTATGTCGTTATCTAGTTATGTTTCTTTCCCCAGCACTGATTTGCAATACATGTTATTATAACAACTCTCATAAACACAAGTCTTTATATAAAAGTTTATGTTATCGACATGCATA